AGACCTTAATACGATGTTTTACCATTTATATATATATATATATATATATATATATATATATATATATATATATATATATGAAGACTCTTCGTTAAGACGAACTGAGTTCTTCAGTAACTGGCGTGTTTATTTAAAAATAAATAAGTCTAAATTCACCTTCATCGAGGATGAAACGCATGACAGGTAAACTTTTTTCCATTTTGTCTTACATTTTACCGAATACTTTTGTTGATATATAAAACGTGTATATATATATATATATATATATATATATATATATATATATCACATACATACATACATACATACATACATACATATTAAATTGGTTAAATAATTTAGACATATCATGTTAATTCGTTTTCGTTGTAATCCTTTCGTATTCACGGATTAATTTCATGATAGCCTTTTGGTATTTTTCTTAATCCATTTTCTAAGACTACCAAGAAATTAATCCGTGAACTCAAAAGGATCCCAACGAAAACTAATCGACATGATATGTCTAAATTATTTAACCAAACCTGTTTGATATATATATATATATATATATATATATATATATATATATATATATTTCATGAAAATCTAGGTAATCCGTATGGCTAGACCCAAGGTGGATAAAATCCAGAGAGCTCAATGTAAATCCAGAGCAAATAATTTAAATAAAAACCGACCACTTTAAGGTTCCATGTATTACATTATTTCACCACAGCCCTTTTAAAGGACTGCGGATCATCAGACTTTACTTCTAAAGGTTGAAACGAAAAATGAAATAAAATTTACAAATTTTTGACGGGCCGTATTAAGCATATGTAAATTAACGAAGTGAGGAAGTGAGGTGGGAGAGAGAAGACATGTGTGAGTTAGATGTAATTTAATATTTCTCTTCTTTCATATTTAAATTACTTGAGAAGGTCCAGACATTGACACATTTAATCGGTATATATATATATTGATAATATATGAGTGGTCAATATATATATATATATATATATATATATATATATAAGTTCCCAAGAGGATAGAATCCAGGTAGAATTCAATGTCCAGGACAGAGTAAAAATATAATATAAAAGGCTCAAACACTAACATTCCACAGTTATAATTTATTACATTGGAATCGTAATCATGATCCAATTCATCAGACCTACAAATTCAAAAAAGGATATATATATATATATATATATATATATATATATATATATATTGTGTGTGTATATTGTTCATGAATAGGGCAAAGGAAGTCAAAGGAAGGCATATATTTTAGATCATGTAAAGAATTTATTCATTTTGTAGATCTCAGAAACAATGTGTAAATCAGTCACTATATTTATATATAAATAAATCTCACACAGGAAAAATCAGGTGCAAAAGAGGAGAATCAGTATACAGTCTACAGATATGGACCATTCTAAATAGAAGAAATATAATAAAGGTGCCAGATTTTCATTGCTCTCGAAAACATCTGTTCGTTCAATTGGAAAACAACGAGCTGTCTAAATAAATCCAGAAAACTCGAAAATGACTGTCGCGTAACTGCATATATATAAAATCGAGTCCTTTCCGTATTTTTACCTAGAAAAGAGACACGCCGCCATCTTCAGTTAAGAAACAAGGTTTTACGGTTTGCTTCTTTGTCTCTGACTAATCAATTACGGATCCACACGATTGCAGACGTCACTACGTGACTGGATTGGGAATTTCGAATTTCGTCGATAAATCTGACGCAAAATGAATCCGTTTTTCTTTTGCTCGTTCATTCAGAAGGATGGCAGAATTAAATTGATTTGTATCGATTCTGCACTTATTATAGAAATAGGCTTCCAAATTGAACTTAATTATCATTTTTTTTAACATTAAAAACAAAACAAAGCACATGTACGTGGGCTAATTCAAAAGATGCTCAACAAAATGTAGAAAGACTCTGAACATTTGTTGAGACATCGAAAGATGACAACATTTGGTAATTAGGTTAAAATCTTGTTCTACCAATCAAGTAAGTAGAAACATATTGGTATAGTTGAAATGAAGGTCACACACACGCACGTACGCAAAATAAGGCAGGTTGATTTTTCATATTTCTTTAGAAAACCAATATTTCACTCTGTGTGCAAACTGGGATTTGATGTGATAAATACTGACTCCAAAATTTAGATTCATAACTTTCATCAATTTTTGAGCATTTAACTTTAAAGATCGTCTGAAAAATGTACAGAAAACCCCAATTTCCTCAGGTTTTTGCAGACAAACTGACTTTTACTATTTTAAGAATAAATTCGGATAAATTAATATTTTCCTATTAGATAAATTGAATGGAAAATATATTCAAACCAGAATTCTAATTATGAATCACCACAAGCAAAATATGTTTTTTTTTATTGTATTCGATAAGTAAAAACAGTGTTAAAAATTGTAAAAGATTACAAAAAAGGTTACTCAATTAAAGTTTGTCAAATAATAATTCAATCCGTCAGTTATGTGCCATGCGTGATACACGCTTAGGCGATCATGTATCTTTCGATACATGACTGACGAGGCATATTTTTCCCGTTGTAGGTTACCATTTCTTTCTGTGGTAGACCAGCTACCATCCAAAGCTACAGAACACGGTCTGTCCTGCTATTTACCCATAGATGGAGGAAGAAGAAGAGGATTCACACCTTTCCCAAGGGTATTAGCACGTAAGTGAATGTAATGGATTCGAACTCGGCTCTCCGATTCCTCAATCCATATATATATATATAACCAAGTCTGTCCTGCTATTTACCCATAGCTGGAGGGAGAAGAAGAGGATTTACACCTTTCACAAGGGTATTAGCACGTAAGTGAATGTAATGGATTCGACTGGAATTCGAACTCGGCTCTCCGATTCCTCAATCCATATATATATATATATATATATATATATATATATATATATATATATATATATATATATATATATATATATATATATATATATATATATATATATATATAAATTCAAGTCTGTCCTGCTATTTACCCATAGCTGGAGGGGAGAAGAAGAGGATTCACACCTTTCCCAAGGATATTAGCACGTAAGTGAATGGTATGAAATGAGATTATAATTAATAATAAAGAAATAGATAATCGTGTATATAACCAAATAATACAGCTGGACACAAATTATAAGATTAGAAATGTTTTATCTTTGCATTGGTTATTGAAAATTGCACTAAAACTACTTTACTGAAATATATATGATCTGTGACAGTATATTAAATCTTAATGTAGCTAAATTGTACAATAAAATTTCCCTTGAAATAAATGGTCTTATTTGATGGTACAATGATTTAGTAATAATCTGCACATGGCATGCATTTTGCCCATATATAAATTTCTAAAGTTTCAGAGACTTATAAATTTTATAAGACGGTGCTTTAAGGCTTAAGAAAAACTTAATCTTCAAAATTGTTTCCTCAATAAACGTTAATGTTTTGAAAAATAATATTCTGTATCCTTATTTCTCATGTCAAACCCCAACTTTCAGTTGAGTGCAATACCATGTTTCTAAAATCGACTTGCCCTAATGCACACATATAAAACCTGTCAGTAAAGATTATACTTAATAAACCAGATTTATATTAATATAATGCTGGCGCGAGTTCAAACTGCCGCCTTCTTGTTTCCATACGCTTGTGTCTTGATTAAAAGGGTGTTTACAAAAAAGCAGAACTGATCTAGCAGTTGGTTTATTTGAAGGAAGTAATGGCATGTAATCAGCATCATGATCATGATCATCGTCATCATCAATTCCATGACCGGAGGTGATCATAGGGTCACTGCGAAACTAATCCCCTGAACAGCTCCCGACACATACCTAGGTTGAAAACCGGAGATGTAATCCTTATACGTAGCGTGACTTGGGTAGTTAGACCTGGAGGAGTCCATCTCTCTCTCAAGGCCAAACCGAAACCGATTTTTTTCATGTTGAAGGCTCGCTTTGGTCCTGGACGCGTGGTCGATGATTCAATCATAGGGGAGCCTTCTCTTGAGATCTTGAATTAAAGAATTCACAGTATGTAAACATGCAACAAGTTAAATGATTTTCTTCTCGATCCAAAATTTTTATTGAAAATAAGTATAAACCTTATTTACACTATTTACAATGTCCAGACTATTGTCCTCACCTTTATTGACATATTCATGTGGTTTCCAGTGACCCAGTGGATAAAGGCGTTGGTTGAAGCAATCCCGTGCGTTGAACTAAAGAGCTGTGAGTTCAATACCTGGCCACAAAAGTTCGATACACGATGAAGAAAAACTTAGAGACTTGAGTTACTAAAGGGAAATAACTGGAACTGAGATATCCAGAAAAGGCATGGACAATCTACCCCCGTGGACTAAATAAAAGGTTCGATCCGAAATTCCAACATACATCACCTGAAGAAAGCCGGAGCGTACAACGTCCGAAACGTCGTGAATATGACCATAAAGATGAGGACAACAGTTCGAACAAAGTTACAATACCTCATCTGAGAATATAAATCCTATAAAATATGTTTCTAATGGCCGTCGTTAGTTATTCATTTCTTCAGGGATCACCATATGTAGTTTTTATATAACCAGTGACTGAGGGCGTAAAGTGATGAAAATGTCAATGTTTCATACTCATTAAGCCCTTCAAATGTTTCTCAGCCATATCTGTGAAAGTAGTTTTAAAATAACGAGCAGAGACGTCACGTTAAACGGCTAAAACGTTATTTTAATTTCTTATAAGTTGAATAAATGCTTAGAATCTAATTAATTATAATTCGAACGAAGTTTTAGAATGAAATGAATCCCGTCCTTTTATTTTTTTCTCTACTCTTAATAAAGATTTTCTCAGATTCTTTCGAATTCGGTAACACCTTGCGTCTTAGTGACTTTATTTCCTTGCTTGGGGTGAAATGATTTTAAAAAAGATCTTGTTTTTCTTCAGTAGAATATTGAACATGAACCACCGAGCCCCCATCCATTACACAAGCCGCACATCCAAGCTTACAGTACATAGTATTCCCAAGCGGTCACCCGTCTGGGTATTGACCAAGCTCGACGTTACTTAACTTCGGTGATCGTACGAAAACCGGTTATAGTTATCTGAAAACATACAACAAGTTACATTTAAACGGAGTTAAATAGATTAGCTTCCAAATCCAAATATTTTACCGTAAATAAAATATAAATAAAATATAAAATGTAAAATAAAATAAATAAAATATAAAATATAAAATAAAATATAAATAAACACATAAATAAAAAATTAAATAGAATATAAAATATAAAATAAAATATAAATAAAATATAAAATATAAATAAAAAAATTAAATAAAATATAAAATAAAATATAAATAAAATATAAAATATAAATAAAAAATTAAATAAAATATAAAAAAAATAAAATATAGGCAAAATATAAAATATAAATAAAAAAATTAAATAAAATATAAAATAAAATATAAATAAAATATAAAATATAGATAAAAAAATTAAATAAAATATAAAATAAAATATAAATAAAATATAAAATATAAATAAAAAATTAAATAAAATATAAAATATAAATAAGATATAAATAAATTTTCATATAAATAAAATGTTAATGCTGCCAAATAGGTTTCTAATTTCCTCCGTTTTTAATTGCTTTCTGTATGGATTGTCATACATAGTTTTGATATCACCATCGACGAATTGCAAAAAAATATGAAGAATGTCGTCCAACAATCCGAATGTTCTTTTCAAATATCCATATCTTTTAAATTAGTTTTAAAATAACAAGCAAATGGGTAGCGGCACGGATTGAAACTAGAATTCGATCACGGTTCTCCGTGATCGAATTCTAGTTCGAATTCCATCTCTTCCCCCTCAGTTATGGACAAAATAACAGATCCTATAGCCTTGGTTGGCAACAAGTCTAGGAGAAGGAAAACTACGACATCAAACAATCTTGTAGGTCTATCGATCTAAATTCTGAGAGGAAGGACTGTGTAACTTTTACTTTCCCGATGAAAAAGGAACAGGCACTATTCTGCCTTGCAATGTCACCATGAAGCACAATTGTGAGATGGAGAGAAGTGAGGACAAGAGTGGTGCAAAAAGAGCCGGCAATCCATTGCACTATTCTGCCTTGCAATATCACCATGAAGCACAATTGTGAGATGGAGAGGTGACCAGAGCGGTGCAAAAAGAGCCGGCAATCCATTGCGCTATTCTGTCTTGCAATGTCACCATGAAGCACAATTGTGATATGGAGAGAAGTGGTGATTGCAGCCTTAAAAAAAGAATTTCTTTGTCGTGATACCAAAATTCTTCCCACTTTGGTAGTCATACTACAAAATGATGTCGACCATATTAAAGATCCATATCGAGATCGAATTTCTTTGAACTGATAACAAGATTGTTCACAGTGGGCTTGTCATACTGCGAAATGGTGTCGACCATACTAAACATCGATATAGAGAGGAAATTTCTTTGCCGTGATACCAAGATGGTTCGCAGTTGGGTCGTCATACTGCTAAAAGATGTCGGCCATACTAAAGATCTGTATCCAGTTCAAAGGTATTTGCCGTTATACCAAGATTATTCATAGTTGTGTGGTCATACTGATAAACTATATCGTCCATTTTAAAAATCCATATCGAAATCAAATTTCTTTGCTGTGATACCAAGATTGTTCACATTTGGGTTGTCATACTGCTAAACGTTGTCGACCATACAAAAGGTGCATATCAAGATCGAATTTCCTTTCCGTGATACCAAGATTGTTCAGAGTTGTGTGGTCATACTGCTAAACGATTTCGACAATACTAAAAATCCATACTTTGCCGTGATAGCAAGATGTAAAAACTCTGCCTATAAACTTCGTTCATGCAAAATCTCTGTCACTGGTCAAGGATGGGCTGTAAAGTACGGTTAATCGTCTAAAACGACAAAAGTAGTCAGTAGATATTTATTTCTTTTTTTTTTATTCGCTTTGTTTTTGCTGTTACTTTTCTTCCCAATGCTCTGAGGCCTGTGACCACATCACACGTCGAAACACCGAGTCGAACAGTATTCGCATGACCAAACATCAGAATACTGTGAGAAGGGCATGGGTTTGAACGAAAACTTTTGACTATCTTATCATTCTCACTATATATATAAACATACTTGAATGAAGTTATACTATATATATATATATATATATATATATATATATATATATATATATATATATATATATATATATATATATGTGTGTGTGTGTGTGTGTGGGTAGTAGCATATCCTCATTGAAACATTTCATTGAACAGTATAGACATTTTGCGTCTGTTTAATTGAAAAGTTGTCTAATCAGCTTCTTGAAGATGAAATTCATGAAAGAAGGCGACGTAGTTTTGTTAACTCAAGTACTATAAATGTACTCTGAGATCCTCCTCAGGTGTGTATATACATACACACACACACACACACACACACACATATATATATATATATATATATATATGATCGAAATAAAGTATAAAACTTAATATTACGAGACAAAAAAACTAAAAGCAACTTTTTTTTTCACTCCCGCTTTTTTGTACATTTATCTGGTTAATTTTAAATTCTCCAGATAAAGTACAATGAAGAGTTGGGAAAAAAACTGGTTCTTTTTTTTTGTTTTTAATATGTCTCGTTATTAAGTTTTATACTTTTTATTTCGTTTTCATTAAAGTTTTTTGTATCATTAAAAAATACCGACAAAAAATATCTTTAAATATATATATATATATATATATATAAAAGTGAACATTGAAGTTAACACTTAAAAGCGACGGGCTGTTTTCATGCTACACGCTCTGATATTGAGCACTTTATCCCATAAATATAGTACACCTTAAGTATATATATATATATATATATATATATATATATATATATATATATATATGCAAGGCCTTTCGAGCGTTTGCAAAATGAAGAAGACTTGCTTTGGCACTCTCAGTGAACAAGCAATCTAATTCACGCTAGACCAAACGGTAGTTTTTCCTTAAAAATGGAACGCAAGTTTAAACCTACAGGAAAGTACATTTTCTTTAATAAATCCTATATATATATATATATATATATATATATATATATATATATATATATATATGCTGTAACAGCAGAATTGCCCAAATCGTTGGATATATATATATATATGCTGTAACCAGAAATCAGTTGGGAAGACATAGTAGGGATGACAAGAAATCATTTTAAGCTGTTCTCTTTCTAGCTGAATAACTCAAAGGGTTTTTCAGTGATTCTTACGAAAAAATGATGTCAAGATGGCTAAACGTCTTATCTGAAAACCTTTAAAAAAGCAACTCGACTACGTTAGTTGTTTTTTAGATATTAAAAGATTTTTGGGATGGACAATTATCCCATGCTGTTACACCGATATATATATATATATATATATATATATATATATATATATATATATATATATATATATACATGTATAAGGGACCATTGAATTCTGTTGAATGTCTGAATCAAATAAATACAGACATTTAAATATCTGAGAAGTGTTCTAACAGAGGACGGAAATTGCGACACTGAGATCCGAAGACGTATTGGGATGGCTAATGATGCATTCCAAAAGCTAAGCAGAGTATTAAGAGACAGGAAAATTTCGTTACAGACAAAGATTTCTGAAATGTTACGTGATATCTGTCCTATATGTCAGCGAATGCTTGACAATCTCCTTAAAGACGAAAAAGAGACTTGAAGCAAAAGAAACGTGGTTCTACAGAAAGATGCTGATACCATTGGACGAACATGTGAACAACGACAAGGTTTTGGAGAATATGGAGACAAAAAATAAACTCATAGTTAACATCAGAATAAGACAGTTGAAATTTCTGGGGCACGTATTGTGGAAGGAGCGTTGGAAAAATTTATACTTACAGGGTAGATTGATGGAAAGAGTGACAGAAGAAAGCAGCTCATAACATGCTTGGATGACAGAACAATTTTGGGAAAAACAACAAAAAATCAAAACTTCTTTAGAGCTACAAACAACAGGAAGATGTCGAGGAAAATGATCGCCTATGACTTGAATCGACACGGCACATAAAATAAGATCATTGATAATTTGATATCAGTATTGTCTTACAGCTCTAAGACGGTACTGATATTAAATTATCAATGATCTTATTTTATGTGCCGTGTCGATTCAAGACATTGGCGATCATTTTACAATCCAATCAGCAAATATCATACAATGCTTTATTTTTGTAGCTACACACTCTTCCTCATCCACATTTATCAAACGCCATATTGTTTGCTTACATTTTGTTGAAGATGTAAAGTATGTCATCCGATCTAAAAAAAAAAAAATGAAGCCTCGCCTTTATTAAATTTAACTTGTTTTTCCGTTTCTTTTATTTTTGTTACTGACGTCGTTTTTTTTTATTTCATTTTACAACCGTGAAGTAAACTATAGATTATTGATTTTATAGGTTTATAAATCTAATGGACATTATATAGATGGCGAGTGGTATGGGCGAATTAATGTCATATTTAAAGCAACAGTTACTAAAATATTTTTTTTTTTTGTTAGCAAAACCACATAACCAATCAGATTCAACGAACGCAAATACGTCATTAGTCGTCTGCATCGGAAAGTCGAATATTTTTCTCTTTATATAAATACACGAGATATTACACAGCCAGCGCAAGATGGGTTTGCGATGTCCGCCAGAAACGGTCAATATAACCAATAAAACGCTGTTAAAGCCTATTGTAATGTCTACAAAAGAAGCCCGATTTGCCACACTGCTTCTTAAGAAATTCGTTCGCCATTCTTTCGGCTATTTTCTATAGAATTATCTCCACTTATTCTTTGGGACTTTAGATATTCATTGGTTAATTACACGTCCTTATTTTCTAGCTTCCATCATTTTTTTTTTCTTTTTTGGTATAGGAAAAAATCTGTTTTATAGAAATAATAATCTTTGATCGGAATGATGATTCAATTTGTATTACTTTGAATGTCACTAATCTTGAATTTCAGTAAAACAATTTTCTTTAACCATTAATAATAATAATAATAAGTAATTACTTTCATCTTAATATTT